GTCACTGAGGAGGAGATCAAGGAGGAGGATCCGTTCGAACTTTCCTCTAAGGAGGAGGAGCAGACGGACGATATAAAAGAATGGAGGAGGAGGACGAGGAGGAGGAGGAGCATGGGGGAGTCACCCATTGAGATCGACGAGGATATGAGCACCCATCTCGTTGACGAGCTCAGCAGCTGCCGTGTCTGAGATGTGTGCGACGTTGATGAACTTCTGACGCTGCGGAAGGTCTCCCGCCCGCTCCACCTCCTGGTCCCCAGTCATGATCAGGTGAACTACCTCCACCTTCTCCTCGTCGTGCTCCGGGAACATCGCCTTGAGCGTCGCATGCGACCCATGGTTCATCCAGGTGTGCGAGGACGCGTACACCAGGATCAGTCTCCTCTCCGGCAGAGCCAGGGCCCGAACGTTGCTAAGAACCTTCCAGTAGACTGGGGTGATCCTCGAGTAGAACCAGTCGCCCCATGCGCGGTGGAGGAGGAGGAGTTCTTCTAGGTCGAGCTCCTGCGCCAGCGCATCGATGGAGGGGACGACGAGGGCGCGGGACCAGGGGCAGAACCTAGCGAGCCCCTTCCAGCACAGGCTCGCGTTCCTGATCACCTCCCGCTGGTACCTGCTGCCCCTCTCATGCTCGTCCCAGCAGCAGATCGCGTTGGAGGACACAAACAAGTTGCTCTGAGCCACAGCCTTGAACGCCAGCCTCCCCGCCACCGCCTCCCTGTACAGCCCCCGCGCGTCCTCCTGCACCGAGCTGACCTCGCTTCCCATCCCGTAGAAGAAGTCTCCAAACCTCTGAGCAGGGAGTCCACTGCCGTTCATCAGCAGCGAGTCCAGCTCGTACATCCCCGCGTTGCGGTCGAAGGGAGGAGCTCCCGCTCTCTCCAGCCCCAGCCCCTCCGGGTCCTCTCCCCTGAAATCCTCGTCTGCCGCCAGCTCCTCCTGGTAGGGGTTCCATCCCGCGTGAGGAGGGAGCGAGCAGCTCTTGTGCTTGGGCACTGACATCCCTTCCTTGCCCACTGAGATGAGCGGAGTAAGAGAGTCCAGCACGGTGCGGATGCTGGAGACGTCAACGATAGGGACGAGGGCACCTGGGACGGTGGGATGGGGGACCCTGCTGACGTGCGGGTAGCGGACGTTGGCGTCCAGCGACAGCAGCAGCATGTGAAGCACGCAGTCGTAGGCTGTCACGTTGAGCCGATGGAGCATCCTCTCCAGCGATCGGCCAAGGGTATAGCAGTCGCTCGGCCTCCCATGCAGGTGAAGGAAGCGCGAATGGGAGAGGGAGGCGGAGGAAGGAGCAGGGAGGCCAGGAGCAGCGGCGATCTCAGCGTCCACGAGCACAGGAGCGCGGGTTTCGGCCCTGATGATGAAGACTTCAGCGTTCAAGTTATGGTGGATCACGTTTGCTGTCTGTAGCGCCTCCAGGATGTTGAGGCAATGGTGGAGGAACAAAGTCAGGGACGCTGTATCCCCAGCCTCCACTACCGCCCTCAGGAACGAGTTCGAGCTCTGCCCAAACACCTGCTCCACCTCATACGCAGACCAGACGCCTCCTGCTCCTGCAGACACTCTCTCCAGCTCCTCGTGGCGGATGACTATAGGGAAGTGCTTGGCAAACCTACATCGTTCAACCTCCACCAGCCTCCTGAAGACCACTGACTCCCTCCATGCAGCATCCCCCGACGTCTGCTTCACGATGCTCATCCCGTTCCAGGCATGCTGCGCCAGCATCTCCATCATCGTCTCCTCGTCCGTCTCGCCCGACGGCTGCAAGGCTGCCGGGTGATCCTCGTCATGCTGGAGGGCGTAGTGTCGCTCCGAGTGCGCGTAGTGGGGGAAGACCGGGTAGGCAGTTTCGTGCATCACCGAGTTGGAGGGGAAGAGGAGGGGGAGGAGAGGACAGAGCTCGTTGTTCACTGCCGCCACCTCAAACGAGTTGTGGATCGCCCGACAGTGATAGGCTTTCGTGAACGCGTCCCGCGCCTCCCCGAGACGCGACGCCTGGCACCGCATGGATCCCAGCAGGTAAAGGGCGTCGGCATCGGAAGGGTTGAGGAGGAGGCAGGTAGCGATCGCTCTCTCTGCCTGCACGAACTTGCCATGCAGTATGTACGCCCCCGCCATCGAACGAAGCGCTTCCACCAACTGAGTCGCATCCTCTTGGCCGGGAGGAGGGCTGGTCAGCCGCTCGACCTGCTCGAGGGGGAAGAAGGACTGGGAGGGAGTCACTCGGATCCTCTGCGCGCCACCCGCCATGAGCAGCAGCAGCAGCAGCAGCACCCGCGCCCTTGCCGCCCTCCCATCCTGCATGGAATGAACCCACTCACGGCACTTGTGGACCACATCCCCTCCATGACCGGGGCATATAAGGAAAAAAATGAGGAAATCCCAGGGGGGAAATGCTGAGAAGAAAGGAAAGGGACGAGCGGACTAGGAAAAGTTTAAGGAGCAGGAGCAGAGAGTGAGAGAGTGAGGATAGAGGCAAGAACTTGAAGAGGAGGAGGAGGAGGGAGAGTAAGACACGGCAGCGAGCACGAGCAGGAGAGATTGAGCGAGGGGGGGGGGAATTGCCGATCAACCCTGTGTTTCAAGGAAGATAGTCAGATCATGACCAGAAGTTCCGTGCTCGTCGTGCTGTTCGTCCTCTTCCTCTCTCTCCCTCTTTCTTTCTCTCTCCTTGCCCAGCCGTCAGGCTCCAAGCTGGCCTTCGCTCCTCGACTGGGACACAAAGGAAGGGAGGGCGGGGATAGAAATTTCTTCGCTCGCTTCCTGCGCAGGAGGACGGGACTTTCCATGTCCAACCTTGACGCCTCCGCGTCAGGGAGCGGCGGAAAGTCTCCCAGGGAGGGCGAAGGCTCTTCGATGCTGCAGCGAGTGCCATGGGGAGTGGTGTACGGGGTTGGGTTCGGGGCCCTTACGGCCTCAAGGATCTCGCACGAGGCGCACCTGCAAGGGTTCTACATCAACAGCGTCGGACTCGCTCCGAGCGCCATCGGGGCAGGATGGTCGCTCTTCTGCCTGCTGGTGGCGTTTGCAGAGCCTGTGATCGGGGTCATGCTCGATCGGCTGAGGTGAGAAGGGGAGGGAGCGAGGGAGCGAGGAGAGGGAGAGAAGGGGAGGGAGGGGCAGTAGCAGGAAGAATGTGCGGAGAGAGAGGAAGGAGGCAGAGAGGAGGATGTAGGAGGATGTAGGAGGATGTAGGAGGATGTAGCGTGCAGCCCGTCCTGACGTGCTTCCAGGTCTAGGGGGGTTAGTCCTCCTACTGTCCTCAGGCTCCTCCTGCTGCCCTGGCTTGCCTTCGTGTTCTTGATCTGGACGCCGTCCAGCGCTGCTGCCCCCTGGACTGTTTTCCTCACCGTCATTGTGTTTGGGCTCCTTCAGGTAGATGCTGAGGAGGCAGGAGGAAGGAAGTAGCAGCAAGAAGGATGCAGCAGGCAGCAGGCAGCAGGACAGGAGGCAGGAGGACAGGAGGCAGGAGGACAGGAGGCAGAAGGCAGAAGAGGAAGGAGGCAGAAGAGGAACGAGGCAGGAAAGGGCAAGCCTTGGAGCAGGGCGTGATAGCTTGTTGTCTCTCAGGCCACCATGAACTTGGGCCTTCTCTCGGTCTACCCGACGATTTTCCCCACCAAGGAGGCGCGAGCAAAAGCGTTGGTCCCCCAGCAGGTAGTTAGAATGCCTCATTCACTGTCCTCTTCTTTTCCACTTTCTTCATCTCCTCCTCTATTCCACTTTCATCATCTCCTCCTCTATTCCACTTTCATCGTCTCCTCCTCTTTTCCACTTTCATCGTCTCCTACTGCCCTCAGATCTTCTGCTCTTGTGTTTCTCCTCCTCTCTCCTTTCTCCCCTCTCTCATACTTTCTCCTTCTTTTCTCTTTTCTCCTCTCTTCCTCTCTCCTCCCTTCCCCTGCCCCCTCCTCGCCTCGTTTTCTTCACCCTCCTGCCAGGCCATGACCATCGTCGGTCTCCTTGTGGGCATGACAACACCAGCAATCCTCTCGGACGACTGGCAGCAGCCTGTTCGGACCTGCTTCTCCCCTGCCCTACTTGCTTTGAGTCTTGTTGCAGCACGCCTTCAGCTCAAGATTCGTCCTGGGACTCGCAGGTGATCTTGAGGAGAGGAGGGAAGGAAGAGGAGGTAGAGCAAGGAGCAGGAACGGGAGATGAGAGAAAGTGAGAGAGGACGAGGGGGAGGAGGAGAAGGAACAGGAGGACAAGAGTTTCCAGGCAAGAGGAGAAGAGCTGATTCTTCTCGTAGCTGCCACGATGTTCTCGTTTGTCTTGATGCAGATTCCGCACGCGAAGGACTCGAAGCCTGTGGGGAAGGAGGAGGAAAAGAAAGTCAGGGGAAGCTCTACCCTCCAGTTCCTCTCCATCTTCTCGAACCGGTTGTCATGCCCCTGACATGTCAAAGGGAAACTTTAACGAGCTTGCAGGTTTTTCCGGCTCATTCTCGCAACAATTTTCATGTCGCAGGTGAAATGGAAAAACTTGTCAGGGCCCTAGAGACTGAGCGGCTGTGTCCCCGCAGATAGGAAACGCGCTGCTTGCCTCAACCCTTCCGCTCTTTGCCAAGTGAGGAAGAGGAGGAGGGAGGAGGGAGGAGGGAGGAAGGGGGAGAGGGAGGAGAGGGAGGAGAGGGAGGAGAGGGAGGAGGAGGAGGCGGGAGGAGGAAGAGAGCAAGGAGGCGGGAGCGTGATGGCCTTTAGTTAAGGGTAGAGGGAATCAGGATCAGGTGCAACAACGAAACCGTAGAGACGGTGATACTGCAATCGGACGGTTTGAGAACGGAAGATGAGGCAGGAGATCGAGGACGAAAAGGAGGAGCAAGACGAGCAGGAGTGGGACCTCGATCAGCAGCAGCAGCAGCAGCAGCAGCAGCAGCAGCAGCAGCAGCACGCACGCAGCAGAATCAATGGATATTGCAAAGGATTGATA